GAGAGAGAGAGAGAGAGAGAGAGAGAGAGAGAGAGAGAGAGAGAGAGAGACAGAGACAGAGAGAAAGAGAGGGAGAGAGCGTAAGCGGGTAACAACAGCGAGCGGGCAGTGAGGCGGTGGGCGAAAGTGAGCGAGTAACGGCAGTGAGCAAGGAACGACAGAGAGCGGAGAGCAACGGCAAGCGGAGAGCGACGGTGAGCAGGGGGTGACGGTGAGCGAGGGGAGAGCGACAGTGCACGTCTGTCGGTCGCGGGGGGGGGGCGACAGTGCGCGTCTGTCAGTTGCGCACGGCACGCCGAACCCGTGGACAGGAGTGGGGGAAAGTCTTTCCCAGCGTGCCGGGTTACGGGCGGCGTTATTTTCCTCCCACCTTGAACTCTGACCGGCGGTGAGCGACGGGCGACAGTGGCTGACTGGCGCTCGCACCCTGATGCAAACACCATCAGCGCCACGCTGAGAACGCTCGCAGAGCTTCGCCTACACCTGCAGCCAAGTGCGGCTGCGGTGGCTTGGCGACGGCCGGCCAACGCTGGCAGATCACTCACGGGAGCGGTCGCCACTCACCACTGCCACCGATCGCCACTCACCACCGTCACCGGTCGTCATTCACCACCGCCACCGATTGCCACTCACCACCGCCACCAGTCGTCACTCATCGTAGCGGCTCTGTTTCGGCGACCCGGTGGTGGTCACAACGCTGACACATGGTCGCTGCGTCGGGCATCACGCCCCGCATCATGAAGAGCGTGTGCGGAGGCCGACACTCCAGGACCGTGTCAGGCCGAGACTGACACTGCAGGATCGTGTCAGGCCGAGGATGACACTCCGGGACCGTGTCAGGTCGGGGCTGACACTCTGGGACCGTGCAGACCATGGCAGACCTTCTAACCGCGTTCCAGCCAAACCATGACCTTGAGACGACACGAGCGCGTGCTAAGTGTCCTGGCGAGCTGCCGTGCGGTGATGAAACAAGAGCCCAAGTAGCCAATCAAGGGTTGACGGGTTGTTAGGCTGAAAATAGCCTACCTTCGATAGCTGTGCTCATGGTAATGAGACAGCTTAGCATCGAACAATCACAATAAACCCATGCTTGTTCATTAGCATCGTTTAGCCAAATCCCCCTTGATGATCGAAAGCCAATCATTGTTATCATGTGGAATGTTAAATCAGAATTTCGAAAACACCTGGAGCTCAAGGTCTTCCTTGCTTGTATCAATAATGGTCAATCAAGGATTGGCTGGTGTGACCCATAACCGCGGTCGTTAACATTTCTGACCTCAGCAACGTCCTGGCGTTGGTAACGATCCGTTCCGTGCCGACCCATGGCACGGGTTGATTCTCCCTCACTCGCAGCTCGGTTATGTCAACCGGCTCCCGCGTCAGGCGAGCGAGCTGATAAAGACGCATTCCGGTCTATAATTAAGTCGACCACGACCGCTCAGCACACACGAGTCGGCGGAGGATTTACGCATGCGACGGCATGGCCCCGTCGTGCATAATTCACTGTACACGTGCAAGGCATGGATCCAGGAGGGAAGCAGTCCCCTCTCCACTTCGACAGAAAGACACCTACACTGGATATGAATACGATTCGTCAACTCCGTTTTATCGGGAGGACAGGCTTGGACAAGACGCATGGAATGGTCAGATCCTCCACACCAGACGCACGAAATGGTAAGATCCTCGACACCACACGCATGGAATGGTAAGATCCTCGACACCAGACGCCTGGAATGGTCCGGTCCTCGATAGTTTGCTTTGTACTCTTGGACCAGCACTTATAACGTGTACTGCAGAGGCAGTGCATGCACAGGTTTGGATAAACCGCAACAGCACGAACCGACACAAACAATACCAAACGTCACCGATTTCTCTGCCGTTCTCTTCACGCACACTTGTACTGCTTCTTATCATACCATACGCAGCTTTGGGACACGATGCCTGGTGATTGGCGATGCCGTGGGGTGACGAAGTGAACAGCTACAGTCAGCGACGATATCGCTTGTTGCGCGCGTTTGGTGTACATGTTTCATTCTCCATCTCCTCTGTTAGAATATCGCGTCAGTTTTCGTCGGCAACTGAATACGTGCTGCCGTATACAATTTTTTCCAGCTAGCGAGTGCTGCGAACTGAGCTCTACACCCACGTCAGCCCATCTGACCGCTGTACATAGGCCGTCTCAAACTCGGCCTATGTACAGCAGCTGCGGCAGCACGACGAGTAGAATGGCTGAAACGCCGGCAGTGCAGGGATGTAGTCCTGCCAGTGGCGGCCACCGCTGAAGTAGCGCCGGCACTGATGATGATGACTGATGGGCGAGCTGACATCATCAGGACTCATCCAATGCGCTTGATAATTGACAAATGATAACTTACAGCAAGTAGCGGAAATTATCCTGATGTCAGCAGCAGCTGGGTTACTATGCGTTAGGATGTGCCGACAGACTCCGTGCCTCCAGTTCGGCAGGCTTGCGAGGAACAGCGTGCAGCTCTCATCGTAATCTGATGTATATACGCAAGGGTCCTCTGCAGCATACATATTCTTAACCATTCGGTGGAAGTTTTAACAGGCAAACCGGGTCTAAAGACTATCGCCATCGCCACACATCCAAACAGTCATTACGGTCCAACACCGGTCGGACTGAGGAATGACGGAAGGCAAGTGTGCGAGGGAAGTGTCTTTAAACCTCGGTAAAGGTCTCGGTATAGCCCTGTGTTGCGTGCGAGTGGTCGGCGGATGTCGCTCGATGTCGCTCGAGCAGACGCGATATCTCGGCCAGACCTCCACCGGACACACCTCCTGCGCTATGCGACGGGTGTCATCGCCAGACCTACGACAAACCGATTCTACCGATACCGATACCGCCGATTCCCATATCAATCTACACTTAGCAGCGTCGAATTCGAACCGGCCGGCACTGTGCCGTTTCGGCGCCGCGGGGTTCAGATCGATCCGTCGGCGCCAGATGGACATGACGCCGTCCTCCATCCTCAGCACGCCGCTGGGGGACCGCGGACTCGGGCCCACCTCTACTCGGTCCGGAGACGGCTCCAACACGCCGGCGTCGCCCGGCGGGGTGGCACCGGACGCCGGCCTGCGACAGCGGACCAGTACCGTCGCTCGACACGGCGGGCCAGGTGGCCCACCTTCCTCCGCTCGCTGGGGCGGCACCGGACGCCGGCCTGCGACACCGGACCAGTACCGTCGCTCGACACGGCGGGCCAGGTGGCCCACCTTCCTCCGCTCGCTGGGGCGGCACCGGACCCCGGCCTGCGACACCGGACCAGTACCGTCGCTCGACACGGCGGGCCAGGTGGCCCACCTTCCTCCGCTCGCTGGGGCGGCACCGGACCAACTTCCGGCGATTACGGGCGCGAGTGGCGGCCGGGTCGGACGGAGCCGGGTCGGGCGGCCGCCTCCGCTGGCACCCGCGTGCCCCGCACGCTCCGGGTCCTCGTGGACGCCCTGGTGATCCCGGGCTGGCGCTGGCTGTTCGCAGCCGCCTCCCGACACGCCGCTGGCTGCCCGCGACTGACGCGCGCGGGTGTTCCCCGCCCCGTCCACGCACTGCCCGCATGGCCACCGCTGACACCGGGGCCACCGCCGTCCGGTGTCGCTCGATTTACGAACGTGTCCGTCAAAAACCTCGGCTCGACATCAGGATCACTCATCTATACCGCGTGCCCACAACAGCGAAACGACCGCTGCCACGAGCAGACAATGGCATGCCTTTCTGAAGCTCGAGCCCCATCCTCAACCACAATGCTCCGAACATTCTACTTCAGGGACCTATGTAATAGGAGCCAGGAACCTGAAAGGAAGGACATGCGGACTATCCAATGTCCCAATCTACCAAATCCCAATGTTCCATTCTACCAAATCCCAATATCCCATTCTATCGAGCTTCGTCTCTGCTGGATGGTGTGCTCGGCCGTGCCATCCGCTCCGCCTGCCCCAGACTCGACCGGCCGGAATCAGGGCCTGCCGGCCGGGTCACGGTGCCGTACCACGCAGTGTGATGTATACCGCTGACACCAGAGCCAAATCCGCGAGTGCCGTGTGTGCGTGTGCCGAGATGTGGGAAACATGCGGCCACTTTGCCGCACGTATCGCGTATTTATGCACAGGTTTCACAACTGACGCAGTCATCCGGTACAGTTTAGCACGTGCCGGGTCCGCCAGCGTTGTGCAACGCCAGCCGCCGGCCGCCCGCACGAACCGCATGGAAATGCTTGCTGACGGCTGGCGTTTGAGCCGGTAAGAATGGGGAGCGTGCCGTTTGGAGACGACGATTCAAAAACAGCGGAGGATGAATCTATGCACTGGCAAGCTCAGCCGACTGAACCATGAGCCGGCCGCTACACACGAGGACTGCTGGACAGAGCCTGTCCCCCTGCCTGCTGAAAGCTACCGATCAGACAGGGCCTGTCGCCGGTGTCTGGAGGGCTGCCCGACAGACAATGTCTGCTGTCTGGTGGCCGGGGCGGACGGATCGGCCGGCTCCCGGCCGAAGCTGCGCTGGCGGGGTGGCTCAGGCTGCACCGGCGTCGCCGAGCGCTCGCGGAAAGCCGACACGGGAGCGCAGGCGAAACCGAAAACCGCGGCAAACAGAGCGGACCCGCACGGGCCCGGTCCGAGCCAGCCAGCGTGCGTGGCCGGGCTGCGGGCTCCTCGGAGCTGACTCGAGGATATGGGCAGCAGAGAGCCCGTCGCCCAGAGCTGAGCTGCAGGCTCGGCGTGGTCGGGTTCGGTGTTCGGTGTCCGTGAGCTCGGTTGACCACAGCCGGCCTCGAACGGTGCCGGGCCCGGATTTCACGTGTCCCTTATGGTCTGGCTTGGGGCCTCGCTGACTTCAGTGAGCGGTGGGACTGGTCTAGCACGGTACGAGGAGTGGGGTCCCTCGTGGGTCGGCGACCTACCGCCGAGTTCGGTCGCCGGACCTGCGGACGGAAGCGCAGCCGGTCCAGCGGCGCCGGCCGGAGGCGCCACGTGCCACTCACCTCCTCCTCTCCGTTCTGCGTGTTCACCGAGTCCATGCTCTGGCTGAGGCACGTGGTGTCCATGGCGTCGGCTGTGGCGGCAGCGGGCGGCTGGCACGGCAGACGCGGCAGCACTGCCCGGACCTGGTGTGCGCCGGCCGACGGTGGCGCTCCGTGTGGTGGCGCGCCGCCCTGTCATGCGCCGCTACACCGGGCTCACCTCAGCGCGGCGGCGCGGCGGCAGGTGCGGATCCGGCCGCACCGCTGCCGGGGCACGTGCCGGCGGCGGTCGCGCCGCCGGCCGCGTCGCACGGTGGAGGGCACGGCGCTGGTTGACGACGACCCTCAAGCGGGCGTGGGTGGACGGCCGTTGTGTTCCGTGTCCTAGCGGTCCGTCCGGCAGCTGACGGGGACTGGCATTAGGGGATAGCCCGCTGCTTCTCGGCTGTTTTGTGTAGCCAAGGGGCATGCACACCGCACAGCTGCGACCGCAAGTCGTTAGTCGACATTGTCCAACTGATGGATACATATGTAACAAAGCACGGAATGTTGACATGAAGCGGACAGGGCAGCAATGGGAGAGCATTCGAGCACTGATAGCAGGCGAGTCTGGCGGTGCAAGGTCCATTGATGTGATTTTTTAAGCGTTACCTTTGCAATATTGCATTTATTCAGTCGTAAAGAAACTAGCTAGAGATAACTTCAGTATCACTGGCGAAGCTCAGTTTAGTGAAGCCTAGCGGACCAGACATAATTTGTTTGTGTCGTTATCCCTACCTAAAAATATTTATCATGTCTCCACACCACGTCTTGCTGGAGAGATAAAAAGTCAACTTTTCAGGTGTCCTTACTACAAACACAAACATGTTAGAAACCTTGCACCGGTTCCGTACCGGCGCCACCCTAGAGGAATGGGTAATAGCCTGGAATACGCGACGCCTGCCTGGTACGGGCGCTGGTGGTACCGGCTCCCGATGCATTCACTCCGAGCTGGGCCTGTCTCGGCGCCGCTTCAGTGCAGGACATCGATCCGAACTGAGTCTGTCTCGGCACCGCTCCAGTGCAGGACATCGATCCGAACTGGGTCTGTCTCGGCGCCGCTCCAGTGCAGGACATCGATCCGAACTGAGTCTGTCTCGGCACCGCTCCAGTGCAGGATATCGATCCGAACTGGGTCTGTCTCGGCACCGCTCCAGTGCAGGACATCGATCCGAACTGGGTCTGTCTCGGCGCCGCTCCAGTGCAGGACATCGATCCGAACTGGGTCTGTCTCGGCGCCGCTCCAGTGCAGGACATCGATCCGAACTGGGTCTGTCTCGGCACCGCTCCAGTGCAGGACATCGATCCGAACTGAGTCTGTCTCGGCACCGCTCCAGTGCAGGATATCGATCCGAACTGGGTCTGTCTCGGCACCGCTCCAGTGCAGGACATCGATCCGAACTGAGTCTGTCCAGGTATCGCTCCAGTGCAGGACATCGATCCGAACTGGGTCTGTCTCGGCACCGCTCCAGTGCAGGACATCGATCCGAACTGAGTCTGTCTCGGCACCGCTCCAGTGCAGGATATCGATCCGAACTGAGTCTGTCTCGGCACCGCTCCAGTGCAGGACATCGATCCGAACTGAGTCTGTCCAGGTATCGCTTCAGTGCAGGATATCGATCCGAACTGAGTCTGTCCAGGTATCGCTTCAGTGCAGGACATCGATCCGAACTGGGTCTGTCTCGGCACCGCTCCAGTGCAGGACATCGATCCGAACTGAGTCTGTCCAGGTATCGCTTCAGTGCAGGTTACCGACCCGAGCGTCGGTGGTAACACGTCCTTTGCTGGGGCATTCAATCTCCCTTTGTTTTGTACTACAACTTTTAGCCAGCGACCTGAAACTCTGCTCTGTTAGTATTAGTTAATATCATCTTGTTGCGACGGTGGGCGGCGGAGAGCCGAACCTGAATGCGATCTGTGACCATCAACTTTCTCGTGATTTCAAAATTGTTTGGTTAAGATGTGAATGGAATGGAGAGGGGAAATACCAGTGATACTGCGAAGATAGCATCACAATAACTCAGAGTATGCTGCAAAGATATACCGCCTGATCAAACAGTCTGCTTTTCAGTGTTTTGAAAATATCATGGCACGACAGCGCTGCTGAAAATGTCATGGCACGACAGCGCTGCTGAAAATGTCATGGCACGACAGCGCTTCTGAAAATGTCATGGCAGTTGTTGTTGTTGATTGGAGTTTTAGGGCGCGCCGAACACGTCATGGCAGTGTAATTGGTGGTGCCAAGGTATCGACCCGTCGAAAGTGGTACTGGCCAGGCCGGGCCGAGCAAGGTATCGACCCGTCGAAAGTGGTACTGGCCAGGCCGGGCCGAGCAAGGTATCGACCTGTCGAAAGTGGTACTGGCCAGGCCGGGCCGAGCAAGGTATCGACCCGTCGAAAGTGGTACTGGCCAGGCCGGGCCGAGCAAGGCCGGAAGTGTTGTGGCAAGGCCGAGCCGAGCAGCGCCGGCGAGCCCTGCGCCGCTAAAGGCACCAAAGCTCCGCCCGGTTGACGTCACCCCTCGCTCGCCGGGCAGCCGCGCTCGTGATCGCAAGCCCAGTGTGCCGAGCTAGGGTGAAGTTCGCGACGTTTCTGAGCGTCGCTTAGGCAACCGAGCGCTGACTCGATACGGTGGCCCGTGCCGACTCCGTCACGTTGTATCGGATCTCTGTCAGATTGCTTACCTAGTCCACCGCGCCCGACGCTCCTTGCCCAGATGGGTCGGATGCCAGTGCTGTTTACTAGAAAAGGTGGGGATGTCAACGAATTTTGCGAGCTCATTCTTTCCCTGGAACGCCGAAGACCAACGCTAGTTTTCTGAAAAGTCGGCGCTACGGCTGCATCTACGTAAAACAGGACAGTTCCGCCCATGAACGGGCGTACTGACCGTACCCGACGAACTCCAAACGAACGAGTTATCTGAACAACGGAAGCACCCGCTCAATTTGGTACCACAACTGACGCTATACACAACGTTGCTCAGCCCTGGTGGTCGTGTGAACGCTACCTCAACCTACTGCTCCAGCAATAGTGTCTGCAGTGTTGAACGCATGATGCTGACCGCAGCCGCCAGTACCCACCGCACGATCTCCTCTGTTTGCTGTCCTTTGTCCCGGTGTCCTTTGTTCCTCGCGGTGTCTGCGTGTTATGCACAGCGTCCTTCACACGCCGCCAGTCCATGTTCCCCGTCCCCTTTTCCCGTCTTCCCCAGGTACCGCATACCCATGTCATGCGCAAGTGTCTCTGTGGCCCCATGTTTTCGTGTCATACGAGTGTCCACCGGAGCGCGGCTCGGACTGGGCCGGGCCGGGCCGGGCCGGGCCGGGTCGCGCGGCCCTGGGACGCGTCGCGCCGCTTATTTCGGCCTGGGCCGGAAGTGAGCGGCCGCCGGCCGGGCGGCCTGGCGCGCTGACGTCCGTCCGGTCCTTTGTTCGGCTCCGCCCGACACCTGCCGAGCGGGCCGGCAGGCTCGCTGGTCGGCCGACACAGGGCACAGGGCCATGGAGATGGGGCACCACACCGGACACAGGGCACAGAGTCACGGAGATGGGGCGCCACACCGGACACAGGGCACAGAGTCACGGAGATGGGGCGCCGCACCGGACACAGGGCACAGCGTTACGGAGATGGGGCACCACACCGAACACAGGGCACAGAGTCACGGAGATGGGGCGTCACACCGGACACAGGGCACAGGGACGCGGAAATGGGGCACCACACCGAACACAGGGCACAGGGCATCGAACAATGCAGATGGGTACTACACCGGACACAGGGCGCCACATTGGAGACGGGGCACTACATCGTAAGCAGGGCACCACACTGGACACAGGATACCACACCATACACAGGGCACCACACCATACACGGGATACCACACCATACACAGGGCACCACACCATACACGGGATACCACACCATACACAGGGCACCACACCATACACGGGATACCACACCATACCCGGAGCACCACACCATACACGGAGCACCACACCACACACATGGCACCACATCGTACACGGAGCACCATACCATACACAGGGCACCACGCCATACACATGGCACCACATCATGCACGGTGCACCACACCATATGCGGAGGTAGCAGTACAGCACACAACGGTACGTCAACGTTTGCTGTGCTAATCCGGGATCACAAGGTCGGTGTGTGACAGGACATAGCGGCAAACGCAAGCGCGTCGCTTCGCGGCTTACAGCCCGCTCCAAGCACCCTGGCGTCGAAGGCAAGACAGCTCGTACCATGAGCGTGAATGACGCTGGACGTCCAACACTGTGGTCTGAATGTCCTCTGAACGGCCCGCGTGAAGCGTCCTGCGTCGTTCGATGTAGTCCGTGAAGCGTCTTGCGTCGTTCGATGTAGTCCGTGAAGCGTCCTGCGTCGTTCGATGTAGTCCGTGAAGCGTCCTGTGTCGTTCGATGTAGTCCTTAGTTAATGGCATGCACATAAATGGGGAATGGTTCTAATGATCGGTGGCGCAGTGCGGCAGCACCCGGTGTGTCGTTAGGGATTATTGAATGTCAAATGGTGTATTAGGGTAACAACGCGTGACACTGCTGCACCAGGTGTTATCGCTGTTTCTAAGCGTGCGGCTCAGCGACTCAGGACACCACAGCAGTGCATGGAATCGATATGCCGAGTGTGGGCGAGGCGTGTATGTACTGACTGCAGTGGACAGCAACTGCGGCGCAATCCGAACCCAGCTCGCCTGAGGCCAACATAGCAGGTGTTACCATGACAACCGCAGTCTGGTGACCGGGTGATCCGTGCGATTGATCAGGTCATACCAGACAGCAGGGGTAGCGGGAGGCGCGCCAGCTGTCAGGCTTTGTGTCAGGTCTTACCAAACAGCAGGGGTAACAGCAGGCACGCTAGCTGTCAGGCTTTTGTGTCTTATGTGGCAAATGGAATACCGTAGAGTGTAAATGACTTGGAAGCTCGTAGATTATGATAAGAGAGGAGAAAAACTATGTCAGAATATATGGTGAAAGAGTTTGTGTTCAGCCCTATTTCTATGCCGTGCATATCGTTTCAAATTTCCTCGGAGATTAATTTCACTCTCGAAGATCTCAGCATACATGAGGCTTCACTTTGGCCGATGGGTC